CACACACACACACACACACACACACACACACACACACACACACAAAATTAATAATATCAATAATATTATACATATACGACGCGCGATTGCGTAAGGAGCACCCTCCCCCGGGTAACGAGGGTGCAGCGAAAGCACCGCCAAGGCTCCGCGTGACCGGAACATGCAACGTGTACGGTTATAGCAAGGTTGCGGAACACTTACGAGATGCTCGCCTGAGAGAACCTCCAGCAGGGAAATGAGGTTGTGCCCGTCCCGCAGGTCTTCGAACAGATCTCCGACATGTCTGCTGGCCTGTAACAACGATTTCACGGGTCAGAGAGCTGGCTAATTCAATTCCGACTCGCTCGACTGAAAGGAAAATTCATTTAAGACGAATCTTTTACTGACGTCTCTCTAACACGGCGGAGGACTACCACGACAAAATTACAGGGACACGATGCGTGTATCGACGAGCTCGACCTCTTGCGAAAGATCAAACGGTCGACGGCGAGACCGTATGTACTCTCTCGATATTATTTTAAATTAATTGTAAATCGTTGGTTATTATAAATTATTCGAAAGTAGTTATAGGTCATCGGTTATCATAAATTGTTTCCAATTAGTTGCAAATCGTTGGTCATTATAAATTATTCGAATAACTCGATTATAACTCGTTGGTTATTACAAATTATTCGAATAACTCGATTATAACTCGTTGATTATTACAAATTATTCGAATAACTCGATTATAACTCGTTGGTTATTACAAATTATTCGAATAACTCGATTATAACTCGTTGGTTATTACAAATTATTCTAAATTAGTTGTGAATCGTAAGAAGTTATTGCAAATTATTCTGAAGTAGTTGTGAATCGTAAGAAGTTATTGCAAATTATTCTAAATTATTTGTAAATCGTAAGAAGTTATTACAGATTATTCTAAATTACTCGTAAATCGTAAGAAGTTATTACAAATTATTCTGAATTATTTGTAAATCATAAGAAGTTATTACAAATTATTCTGAATTATTTGTAAATCGTAAGAAGTTATTGCAAGTTATTCTAAATTATTCTAAATTATTCTGACTTGTTGGTTATTACAAATTGCCCTAAATCCGTTCGAATAACTAGTCGCAATCGTTGATCATCGATTTTTTTTCTCCAAAATCCAGTTCTCGCAAGAGAAGTAAACGAATTGGTCGAACTCGTCGATATGATAATCGCCAGTGGCGAGACGAATTTGCCAACGACACACACACACATACGCACACAAATACACGCAAATTGAGCTGAAGGAAAGGATCCAAAATCAGCGATTTTTCTGAAACTCGCGAGCGCCTCAGGATCGATACGAGAACGAGCATCGGAATGAACGTCAGGATGAACATCGTGGCTCGTGCGAGTTTCACCGAAATCGTCGGCAACGAAAGGATTTTGCAGGTGAGAGAGCAGGTGAGAGAGCAGGCAACGAGCAAACTCTGTTCGATTCTACGAAACGTGCAAACGTGTCGGACAAGAGGAGAGAGAGGGGGGGGAGAGAGAGGGAGAGGGAGAGAGAGAGAGAAAGAGAGAGGGAGAGAGAGAGGGATTGGATAGAGCGCGGGATATGGATACACGAAGAGGCAGGCAAAGCATGCGAGTATTTCGGAGCGAGCGATATCGCGTGCCGCGCGGAAATAAACGTGTTATTCGGCGCGTCACGTGCGAACGCAGCGGAATCCGCGAGCGTCAAACAACCCGTGAAACTTTGAACGCGCGCCGAACTAGAGATAAGCCCGAACAGTCGCGGCGTGTCGAGGTGACCGCCTAATTCTCATCCGGCGAATGAATGCAGGCGCACCGAAATGCTCGTTTTTGGAAACGAAATTCAAGAACTTCCGATCCGTTTTCATTTTTATTCGAATAACGAATAGAACTTTATTCGCAGAATTTATTCGAAATTTTATTCGAAGGATTCCTTCAACTCGTTCTATTCGAACACAATTTTTTAGAAGAAATTCTTCAAGTCTTTACTCGAATAAAATATTATTCGAAGAATTTCTTCGGCTCGTTTTATTCGAACACAATTTTTTCGAAGAATTTCTTCGAATCATTTATTCGAATAAAATTGTATCCGAAGAATTCCTTCGACTCGTTATTCGAATAAAATTGTATCCGTAGAATTCCTTCGACTCGTTATTCGAATAAAATCGTATCCGAAGAATTCCTTCGACTCGTTATTCGAATGCAATTTTTTCGAAGAATTTCTTCAAGTCGTTACTCGAATGAAATATTATTCAAAGAATTGCTTCGGCTCGTTCTATTCGAACACAACTTTTTCGAAGAATTTCTTCGAATCGTTTATTCGAATAAAATTGTATCCAAAAAATTCTGTCGACTCGTTATTCGAACGCAATTTTTTCGAAGAATTTCTTCCAATTGTGACTTGAATATAATTGCATCGGAAAAATCGAATCGTATCCGTTGCTCGAACAAAATTCAATTCGAACGAATTCATTAAATTTCGTGGTTCGAATATAATTATATCAGAAAAATCGAATCGTATCCGTTGCTCGAACAGAATTCAATTCGAACGAATTCGTTAAATTTCGTTGTTCGAATAAACCGCCGATGGAATCACGAGAAAACGATCGGCGATCCCTGGATGGTAAAATCGGCCGAGAAAGAGCGCCGATAACGAGTTCGAGGAAGGATCGCTTCCTTTCGCGTTCAAGGATCGCGCGCGAGCGGAGGGGACAAAGGACGTCGAGTAGGAAGGAATTACTTTTGCAGTGGTTTTGCAGGCGATCTAGGACAGGCACGAACGGTTTGGATCTACTCGGTGCATGCGTTAAATTCCTGGTAACATCGGCTAAGCGGGTCGACAGCGACACCTGCCGTGGACTTACAGTGGGGGAACAGCATGGCTGGTTGTTCACAAGGACGCACACGTGCAGACACGTGTAAGTCTGAAAAAAACATCGGTTGAGAGATCGATCTCGCGGAGATCGGTTCGGTTTCCGCGTGCCTCTCTTCTCGGTCGACCGAAAGCAGTGGAACGATCCTTCGATCGCCAGACCATGCTGGTTTCGACACACTAGATCCTGGCGGAAAGCCTTCGATCGAATACAATGACGTTCTTTCAATCGTTTCGGCCAATTACTTTATGTTCATATTAATTTTATTCAATCGATACTAATTTTCTTTCGCGATTAAATTAGCATCCGTTCTTTTAATCGTTTCGGCCAATTACTGTATATTCATACTAATTTTATTTAATCGATACTAATTTTCTTTCGCGATTAAATTAGCATCCGTTCTTTTAATCGTTTCGGCCAATTACTGTATATTCATACTAATTTTATTTAATCGATACTAATTTTCTTTCGCGATTAAATTAGCATCCGTTCTTTTAATCGTTTCGGCCAATTACTGTATATTCATACTAATTTTATTTAATCGATACTAATTTTCTTTCGCGATTAAATTAGCATCCGTTCTTTTAATCGTTTCGGCCAATTACTGTATATTCATACTAATTTTATTTAATCGATACTAATTTTCTTTCGCGATTAAATTAGCATCCGTTCTTTTAATCGTTTCGGCCAATTACTGTATATTCATACTAATTTTATTTAATCGATACTAATTTTCTTTCGCGATTAAATTAGCATCCGTTCTTTTAATCGTTTCGGCCAATTACTGTATATTCATACTAATTTTATTTAATCGATACTAATTTTCTTTCGCGATTAAATTAGCATCCGTTCTTTTAATCGTTTCGGCCAATTACTGTATATTCATACTAATTTTATTTAATCGATACTAATTTTCTTTCGCGATTAAATTAGCATCCGTTCTTTTAATCGTTTCGGCCAATTACTGTATATTCATACTAATTTTATTTAATCGATACTAATTTTCTTTCGCGATTAAATTAGCATCCGTTCTTTTAATCGTTTCGGCCAATTACTGTATATTCATACTAATTTTATTTAATCGATACTAATTTTCTTTCGCGATTAAATTAGCATCCGTTCTTTTAATCGTTTCGGCCAATTACTGTATATTCATACTAATTTTATTTAATCGATACTAATTTTCTTTCGCGATTAAATTAGCATCCGTTCTTTTAATCGTTTCGGCCAATTACTGTATATTCATACTAATTTTATTTAATCGATACTAATTTTCTTTCGCGATTAAATCAGCTTCCGTTCTTTTAACTGTTTCGGCCAATTACTTTATGTTCATACTAATTTTATTTAATCGATACTAATTTTCTTTCGCGATCAAATTAGCTTCCGTTCTTTTAATCGTTTCGGCCAATTACTTGGTATTCATACTAATTTTATTTAATCGATACTGATTTTCTCTCGCGACTTAATTAACTCGTCGCTGAGTACAAGTTCTTCCTAATTAGGAAAATTTGTGACAATTTGGGAAAAGGAGATATAATTATTCGAGCCTTGCGGCTCGCTTCTATTGCAATTGCAGATTGTCAATAACTATAAAAACGGGCCGCAAGGCCCGAATAATCGTATCACCTCTGAGACTGATTAATTATCAGAAATTTTTCCTACACCAAAGATCGCAACGCGACGAGCATCGTCGTTCCGAGACATTAATTTCTCTCGATTAATTCTACTGTAATTATTTTGTCGACAATTTTACTCTATTGTTAACACGATCGATTTTGACATCACTTCGAACGCTTTCCACCGGTCAAGCAAGGTGCCATGACTGCTACACCTGGCAGAAGGTCTCCGATCAACGGTGCAATCGGCGTCGTTTTCTGCCAGGAGGTCCTCTAAGATGATCTACTACAGTCGGTCGTGCGGACGAGTGGTCCTTGACCGATCTATCCCATGCAATTCTAAATCGATTGCACCACGCGGTGCAACGTCGAACGTAATTACGCTAAATGAGTCTGGTCGGGACTGCGAACAGACGCGCAAGGCTGTCGGCGAAGGCTGACACACTGTCTCGAAGGTTTAGGTCTAGAATCCTTTGGCCCTCGAAGCTTTCGACCATCCTGCGAAAGTTTACTAATGCGTATCTCAATTTTAATTTTAACTCTAGATTTATATGCATTCAATTTATTATTTATATATTTAATTCTAACTCTCTAGATTTAGATGCATTCAATTTATTATTTGTATATTTTATTTCAACTCTCTAGATTTATATATATTTAACTTATTATTTAAATATTTAATTTTATAACTCTAGATTTATATGTATTCAATTTATTATTTATATATTTAATTTTAACTCTCTAGATTTATGTATATTTAAATTATTTATATATTTAATTTTAACTCTAGATTTATATGTATTTAATTTATAATTTATATATTTAACCCATTGCACTCGAAGCCATTTTAACAACCTTTTACATCAAAACTTTGATAATATAAAAATTAACTTGAAACGTATGTAACAATTTGAGTGGTGCCTCAGAGTCACCACTCGAGTGCAAAGGGTTAATTTTAACTGTATTTATATATATATGGGTGGTAAACGCCCATTTGTTCAACAACATATTGTTTTTAGACTGACAGGGAATCAGCTAATCAGAAAATTAAGTAGTTCGTGAGAACTTGTTTCGAACTTTATGAGATTGATTGCAAATATATGTCTATTTTAATTATGTTTCTGGTTGACAACTTGAAATGTCCTGTAAAAAGTGTCAATTGCACTCTAAACTGGTTATATAAAAATGACAAAATTCGATTTACTTAAACTTCCGCATAGCGGAAACGGTCGTTTAATAGTAATTGATGATGAAGCGAAGCGTTCGAGGACCCAAGAAGTGTACGACTGTCGGGGCCTAACGACGTTTTATCTAACAAAGAGAGGTCCCAAAGTGTAATTTCGACTTTTTCATCAGCTTTTTGCGAGTAGTAACAGTAAATTGGGATAAAAAATCTGAAAAATATTTTTCCTGCAGCTCTCTCAAATCTACCGACACAATTTATAATAATAAATAATAATTCAATCAATCAACTAAATAATAATAATAATAGGTTTACACTTCTACATCTTTCAGTCCAACAAACAAAACTATTTCATTTTCTCAATAATATCATGAGTAACGTTAATGTTTACTCGAGTTAACCTCAAAAAACAATTACCCCCAAAAAATAAAAAGAAACTCTATCATCTTGAAATAACCAACAAACAATTAATTATTTATTCCGCCGGCGAGAAGAGCTGTCATTTAGCATCGACATGCGAAGCCCTACGATTTCGCGAACAGACCAATAAAAAAGTCCGCGTTACACCGGGAGACCGCCCTTAAGATCTCTAATTCCCAGGACCACTCGTCCTAATTAATCGAGGGATCGGTCGCGAGAGAGCGACTCCTGGATCCATACCTTGACGTACTTCCAGTGCTGCGGCAAGCGTGCGGGGACAAAAAAAGAGAGAAAACATGTATACAGAGAAAGAGAACACGTCCGCGACCACGAGTCGGTTGGGTCTTCATCTCGTAATGTATCATCTTATGTAATCAGAGAATTCCTCGGAGAGGAACAATCGGCGCGTTGTCGCGTTGCCGAAGCGGATTCGAGGCGGCGGCGGCGGCGCCGCGCGCGCGTTACTGTTTCTCATCGGACGATGCGCGGCCGCAAGAGATTCGCCGCGTCCGAAAGAAAGTAAAACGAGAGCGAAACGAAAGTAAAAACCGGCGGAGTAGAAACAGAGATGGAACGCGCGCGGGGCCCGTCGCGGCGTGTTTTTGCCCGGCCACGGGACAACGACCGATGATCGTCGGCTACGAAATCGTCGGTCGCGTACAACACAGCCGCCATGATCGATCGAGCGCAGAAACGGCCTGCCGGCGCCGAAGCCGGAGTCTGAGTTGACTCTGGGAGCCGTTCGTGAATGGCCGGCGAAAAAGTGAATGGTTTCGAACGGTTTCCTATGATCAATCGGTTTTACGCCGGCCGGTCGCCGGCCAACCGGGTTCGCCGGCTAATTTTGGAGCGCAGTCATCGCCTACCCGGAATACCTGATTGCTCACCGCCGAGTACCCAGGTAATTAGCCCGGCGCGCTCTCGGTCCGGCTCGTCACGGATCCGAGAGCACGCGATGACGCAACCCGCCCGCGGATTTTATGCGTTTATGGCACTGGTTGCCCCGCCTGGGAACCGCGGCGCGAGGACCAGGATATCGCGGTGCTTAACGGTCCCCGGATGCCTGGGTCCGTTTGGACCCGCGGCGCACAAATTTGTCGACGCGGCGCGCGCGCGCGCTATTGGCGTCGCCCGTTGCGTGCGCGAAGAATGACTAATGTTGCAGTCGCGTCGTTCGAGAATAATGTAATGCTTCCGAGAACATGGAATTTCAGGAAAGAATTGCAACGCACGCGTATTAGACCGTGACGAATTAATTCTCCCGAGTCAAATTTGACGCGAGAAATATTTCCGAGAGAAACTGATGGAATAACGTCCTATATTCGAGAGATAATCAAGATTTACTCGAGCGATATCGCGACTAAATTCATCGAATTGAAAATTAAGAATTATAAGAATAATGAGAATTAATTATAAGAATTATAAGAATATTAAGAATTAATTATAAGAATTATAAGAATATTAAGAATTAATTATAGGAATTATAAGAATGATAAGAATATTAAGAATTTCCGCCGTGGAACCGCAATGAGAAGCGAATTCCCGAAATTCCTGGGAAGAACTCTAGTTGCGACACAAAGAGCCCGGAGGCCGACGTCTCTGTTCCCAGTGTAGATCATAGATCACCGACTCGAGCCTTGTACCCTCGATCCATTAGTGGCCGAAAATCCGTCGCGCGGACTGCCCGTAGGACGTCTTTATTCAACGGAATGGAATCCGTGGACGTCTATGTTACTTCAGCGGACCATTTCCTGGCGCGGACGTTACGCAATGGCGGCGATGCGTCATGCCCAACCGTGCACTCACTCTCGAGCTGTCTGTTTCTCCCCGACCTGATATGCAACATCTTCTGAGACCGGTTAAATTACTGACTACATGACTGACTTACTGTTTTGCTGACTGACTCACTGACTGAGTGATTGGTTGACTCAATCACTGACTCACTGAGTGATTGGCTGACTGACTGACTAACTCACTGAGTGATTGGTTGACTGAATCACTGAGTGATTGGCTGACTGAATCACTGAGTGATTGGCTGACTAAATCACTAAGTGATTGGCTGACTGATTGACTGAGTGATGATTGACTGACTGACTGACTGACTCTCTGAGTGACTGGCTGACTGAATCACTGAATCACTGAGTGATTGGCTAATTGACTGACTGAGTAACTGACTGACTGATTGACTGAATTTCTGACTGACTGACTGAATTGCTGACTGACTAACTGATTTGATAACTGGTTTGTTGACTGACTGACTTATTGACTGTCTAACTGAGTGTCTCGTTGACTCACTGACTGACTGACTGACTTAGTGGCTGACTGGTTTGCAAACTGTGTAACAGGATGACTGGCTATCGGTCTCGCAGCCGCGCGCCTAACTGCCTACCCAGCCACCTACTTATCGTGCAAGAGGTGGTAAATCGGGAACGTCGTCCGCAGGAGAACGTTTCCGAATAAGGTCAGACTTGCGAGAGGAAAGGTGGGCGCGCGGCGGAATCGAGCAGGTAGGCAGCCGGCTAACAGAACCAGTACCGAGCGGCGAGCAAACACGCGGCGGTACCGTTCGCCGTGTTACCCTGGAATCCATGACCGAAGAGGACCGATTTCTGTCGCATGTGCGACGGGAACGTCGAAAGAGAAAACAAAGCGGATCCGGTCGTTGTCCGAGACCAGCTGTACCAAAAATTGGAGCGATACGGTGGCTTTGGGTCGTCGCGGGCAAACAAGACACGCCCACTACGAACAGGACACGCCTTTTTTTACATAGAAACAGGAAGAAGGAAAGAATCCATGAAGCTAGAGAGCTCGCAGAATCTAAAATGGACAGGGATGCAAATTGCCCTGGATTCGACGAAAATGCGGGCTATAAAGCCACGCCTACCACGAAGAGGCCACGCCTATTTTACATAAACAGAAAGAAGGAAAGAATCCACGAAGCTAAAGAGTTCGAAGAATTTAAAATGGACGCCGATGCAATTGCCCTGGATTCAACGAAATTGCGGGCCATCAAGCCACGCCTGCTATAACGAGGCCACGCCTACTTTATCGTAGAGAGTAAAAAGAGAAGAGCAGGAGTTTTCGATTCATTAGTTGCTAGAAGCTAAGCATCGTTAATGTCCTAATCACCTGCGATTAATTTCTAATAAACCGCCATTGTATATTAAAAACAGAATTGTTTAACCCGCAAATAAATGAATAAATAAATAAAAAGTCTTCCATGTCCTACTTTTAGCGAATATGGAAACAACTCCAGCAGCTCGCACCACGGAATAAAAGGGCCAAACGGCGATAAATGCCAGAATCCATACGGAGAAACCTTTCGAACGCGGGCGGTAGAACGCGGAAGCTTGTTCCGAGCGGAGGAGGGTAGCTGGCAGAGGCAGCGAGCATGAGTAAGGGGTGAGTAATGCGGTCTCGATAGGCGCCGCTCGAACCGGCGACTAACACAGGAAGAAGAAAATGAGGCTCGATAACCCTCGAAATGCCATTCGAGTTATGCTCGCGCCGCTTGCGAACCGCTTCGGAGTCTCGCCTCTCTCTCTCTCTCTCTCTCTCTCTCTCTCGCTCTCTCTTTCTCCTTTCTCCCGCCCGTATGTACGCATACTCTGAGCAACGTGAAAGCCTCGCCGAGAATTTATCCGCGCTTCGAGTTCCGATGCTTCTATTTCTCGGTGTCGCCGGATGATCCATCGATCGGAATCGAGTCGCCGGCCCGCGGCACCGATTCCGAAAACGGAAGCGGGGCCCGCGTCATCGACGACGATTCTCGGTGCCAAACGAACGACGGCCGACCAAACGAATTAACGAACTCGCTGACCGACGAAAGAACGGTGTCGCGGGGATCAAGGCTAACGCGTCTCGAGTTGCGAGAATTGTTCGCGGTCGCGAGCCGTGTCGTCGACGTCCGCTCTTCGTCATCGTAGATAGAGCATCAGGAAAGAGAAACAGAGAGAGAGAGCAAGAGAGCAAGAGAGCAAGAGAGAGAGAGAGAGAGAGAGAGAGAGAGAGAGAGCGCAAAACGGACGAGTTCCGTCGGCGTCGGAATCGTCACTGGCATCGACGCCGTCGTTTTTTCCGTCCCGCGTGACCGCAACAAGAACGCAGCGGAGAACAGTGGCGGCGGTTGTTCGGTAGCGATACTCGGAATCTCCTTAATCGATCTTACGAGCGGCAACCGACCCCGACGCCCCAAAACTCGGTCGTCATGCCGCCGCCGTCGCCGCGTCGTTTAGAACGTCGGGGCGACTATCAGAGATCTAGACATATGAATGAAAAAATCTAGATTATATGATGGAAATTGCGCCATATTTCTACGCTGAAGAGCCGCCAGGAGGAATCGCGGAAAAAATCTCGGAGGAAAAATCTTAAAGACGCTGGAGAAAAATCCTGGAACTTCGCGAGGAAACCTTGGCCTCCAGAAAAAATCCTAGACTCTTAGATCTCGTAGCATTCGGAAAAAATTCCTAAATGATGTAGAAGGTCTCGTGGTACGTGGGAAAAATCCTGGACCCTCTAGGAGGAGTCCAGATCTCTAAAAAAAAATCCTAGAACCACTATTTAACCCTTTGCACTCGAGTGGTGATCCTGAGGCACCAAAATTGTTATATCACGTTTTAAGATCATTTTTATATCATCGAAGCTTAAATTTTAAAGATTATTAAAAGTATAACTGTTGTATGAATCGCGAGACTTAATTTCGTATATGCATAAAATGCACTTTGTCCTGCAAAATGGAAATACTGTAAGTCGAACAAATTATTTTAGGTTTACAGTTAAAATGGCTTCGAGTGCAAAGGGTTAACAATCAAATACTTTTAATTATTTAAATACTTAATAATCAAATACTTTCTATATGATCACTTTAAGACATGCGACGTTGGTTACGACGTTGCCGCTTATAATTAAAAAGAAAAAAAAATAACAGGTCGTCCGTAACGATCAAAAGTTTGTCCACCCCTACTCTACGAGAACTCGCAGCGTCCAGAAAAAAGACCTGAAAATCCTATGAGTATGAGATGGAGTCTGCGATCATAATCGCAGGTTCCAAGAGACCTGCGGGAATAATGGCAGGGTATATATCCGAGAAGAACGATCGCAAAGAAGGCTGGTTCGGAAAGTGGCCGGGCACTTGGCGGGGCCGGCGAACAGGTTGCGAGTCGCTATCGATCCCGTCGATTTCCTCGATTCTCACCCACTCGGTTTCGTCGTCGCGTTGCCTTCTATAGGCCGTGCGGAACACCCTCCTCGAAGGGATCGCGGCTCGCGGCGACTCGCGACACGCTCGGCCCACGCGCGCGTCCCACATCGACGCACGTTTACGTTCACGCCCGCCCACGCGCGCGCGGGTTTACCTGCGCGACCGGCCTGCGACCGGCGTGGAAGGTGTTCTCCACCGTGTGGTTTTCTCTCGCGGTGTTTCGTGAACGGCGACGGCATAAGGCAACCGCGAGCAGACACGACGAGGCGCGCGAGGTTACGAAACAGCTGGTTGTCCGCGGGCGTTGCGCGCCGTTGCGCTCTCGGCACCTATCAGGTGTTTCGATACTCTCGCCTCGCCCCGGCGCTCGTCCAAGAGTCCGCGAGGCACCCGAGTGTCGATTCGATTCGATTCGACTCGACTTAGCGAAGCGTGGCCTCCTGACCGGCCGTCTAAGGTCGGTCTAAAATTAGGATCGCTCGATAGTTCGAAGGAAGGGCCGCGGAACTTCGCCGAACAACGTAATTCAAGCAACCCCCGACCGAACCTCTAACCCACCCTCGGGCACCCCCGGTGAATGCCGATCGCCAGTATCAACCCTCCGAACGCGGCCGAGTTTCCGATCTTTCGCTACGAGAATCGTCTGGTTTCGGTTGTTATCGCGGATGCATTGGAAGAATTCGAAGAATTGGAAGAACCGAGAACTGATCGCGATATATTCTCGTTTTAGGATGACAAGACTGGATCAACCCTTTCCTGTCATATACTTCCTATGCGACGCGGTATCATCGTACAATTTCGAAGAAACTGTTGCTCGAAAACTAGCGATGAAAAGAACTGAGGAATGTTGGCGTATCGACTCTTTAAGGTTATTTAAAAATCAAAATTGCGCTCGGTACAGTAATGTATCTCTAATTGACGCTCAGATTGTCCACTGAAATGGACAATTTGGGNTCGTGAACGGCGACGGCATAAGGCAACCGCGAGCAGACACGACGAGGCGCGCGAGGTTACGAAACAGCTGGTTGTCCGCGGGCGTTGCGCGCCGTTGCGCTCTCGGCACCTATCAGGTGTTTCGATACTCTCGCCTCGCCCCGGCGCTCGTCCAAGAGTCCGCGAGGCACCCGAGTGTCGATTCGATTCGATTCGACTCGACTTAGCGAAGCGTGGCCTCCTGACCGGCCGTCTAAGGTCGGTCTAAAATTAGGATCGCTCGATAGTTCGAAGGAAGGGCCGCGGAACTTCGCCGAACAACGTAATTCAAGCAACCCCCGACCGAACCTCTAACCCACCCTCGGGCACCCCCGGTGAATGCCGATCGCCAGTATCAACCCTCCGAACGCGGCCGAGTTTCCGATCTTTCGCTACGAGAATCGTCTGGTTTCGGTTGTTATCGCGGATGCATTGGAAGAATTCGAAGAATTGGAAGAACCGAGAACTGATCGCGATATATTCTCGTTTTAGGATGACAAGACTGGATCAACCCTTTCCTGTCATATACTTCCTATGCGACGCGGTATCATCGTACAATTTCGAAGAAACTGTTGCTCGAAAACTAGCGATGAAAAGAACTGAGGAATGTTGGCGTATCGACTCTTTAAGGTTATTTAAAAATCAAAATTGCGCTCGGTACAGTAATGTATCTCTAATTGACGCTCAGATTGTCCACTGAAATGGACAATTTGGGAAGAGGAGATACGATTATTCGATCCTTGCGGTTTATTTTTATAGTTACGAATCGTCAACAATTATAAAAACGAGCTGCAAGGTTCGAACAATCGTACCCCATCTCCCGAAATTGTCCATTTTTGTGCGCGATCTGAGCGTCAGTTAGGGAGACATAACTATGATTGCAAAATTAGTGTCTCCTGCCATTGACGCGGACATTTCTTATTCTCCACGAAGATCCGCGGACTGCAAATTAGACAATAGAACGTTTCGAATGCGGTAAAAAACAGACGTTCCGACAAGGGAGCCTGTACCATCGAAAACCCGGAATAAAAAATGAAAACGAAAATTTCAAGACGCGTGAAAACAGCTTCGCGATCGAATTAATCGATTGTGGTCGGGCACAGCTACATATAAAGGAAGCTGGCGAGCGCAGAAAGCGTGTTCGCGCTCGATCGACCGTTTTCGGAGCGTTCGTAGTTCGTTCCGTGGCGCGTTCTCACCGCGACGCGGTTTTACGCTCGTTGTTTAAGCTGGTGCTTACCTTTTTCAGATGCTTGTTCACCCATTTGGTAAATGTTTTCTTTTGGATCGCGTCTCGTTCGTCTGCAATCAGAAAAGGGTGGCGATCGTTAGTCAGTGGAGACGCGTTCCGATCTAGAATCGACACGCAACCCCCTCCCCACCCCCCGTCATCGACCGCGAACGAGAGAAGATCGCGAAAATATTTTCTTCCCTTGGATCGCAGTCGAAGCGATCGCGCGTAATCGCGGCGGCGATTAAAATCGACACGGATCGCCTACGCAGCCCTAGAACTGGCAAAACGTCAGGCATCAGGCAGCAGGCAGTCAAGCAGCCGGATAGACGGACAGGCAGACGGACAGGTGGGTGGTTGGACAGGCGAACAGATAGGTAAGTAGGCAGACGGGTAGGTGGATGGGTTTCGAGACGAAGGCATCATCGCGGGGCGACGGGAAAAGGAGCAGTCGATCGGGCAAACAAGCGAATCTAAGCGCCAAAGTTTGACGACCAATCAACCGGTTAATCGTCAATGCACCGAACACGTCCATCGATCTACCACGGTCGCCACCCCCCACCCCCTCCGCCACCCGAATACTAACCCTTTCTCTGTGAATGTTTCTTTCGTTTTGTCGTTCGTGTGTAATTTATGTAATTTTCTGTACGCGTGCAGGTTTAAAGTAAATATGAAATAATGGATGCTATAGGTAAGCATAAAATACTGTACATTTTACATAAATATAAAATAATATATATAATAAAATCATGTATGTATATAATACGATATTATATATATATATATATATATATATATATATATGTATATATATTAATAAATGTATTGCTAAATCTATTGATAAATGTATCGGTAAATATATTAATGAATATATTGATGACTATATTGATAAATATATTGATAAATATATTGATAAATATATTGACAAATATATTGACAAATATATTGACAAATATATTGACACACAAATATATTGATAAAATAATATATATAATGAAATCATATATACATCATACGATTACATACATATATTAAAATCGTCAAGTCGCGTTATTATTCACATTACAGATCCACGCGGCAATTATTCACCACTATTTGCCAGTTCTAATCAACAACGTAACGAAAAGAAATTCTCACGGAGAATTAATGAACCCCGTGCAATCGAAATATCGGCTGCCCGTGCGCCGGCTGGAAAATACAGTCGCAACCCGTTCCCACCGGAAACCGTGGAGACCCGCTTTCGAAATCGGATCCGAGTTTATGGCCGTTCCAGCCAGAATATCATTGCTGTACACGCGGCGTCTCCGGACGTGGTCGATCGAAAACCCCGAGATCGCGCCGACGAGATATGTATGTATTAGGCTCGACGACGCGAGATCCGAATGAATGTGTCCCGAGTAGGAGGCGCCCGTTCCTCGAACCGGCAATTAATTACGACCGATTAACCGATTCCATCTAGGCTACCGGCGAACACTTTATACGATATCGCCGGCCGTCGTCTCGCGCTTTTCGAACGTGGACGCTGTTAATAGTCGTTCCACCCACTGCCGGATGGATCACGAGTTCGCTGTGACAGCTGTGTTTGCGGCGATGCTTTATGCTCGTCACGTATAGAAAGAGTCCGACGACTTTTTGGAACGCAACCGGGATCGCGAGGAGAGCCAATTGCTGTGCCCCGTTGGCGGACTTTAACGATTTAACCCTTTGTGGAGATCTTTGATACTTATTTATTTTTTTATCTGTTTTAGTGTTATTCTCTTTTGTTACCTACGTTTAACGTTATTTATATATTATGATCACTTTGTTTATTATTATCTATCTTTTTTATCACTGTATCATCTCCTTTCTTTTTTCTTGACTTTTCTTTGTTATGCTAGTCGCGCGACGTATTGTCATATTATTGTAATAAAGAGACTTTCTTTCGTTGGTCAAATAAATATTATCATTACTATTATTATTATTATTATTATTATCATCAATATTATATTTTTATTATTATTATATTGCCATACTATTGTAACATAGAGACTGTCTCCGTTGATCAAATAAATATTATTATTATTATTATCATTATTTTTATTGTTATTATCATTTTTATTTTTATTATTATTATTATTATTTCCGTTTCATATGACGCAGTGAATTTATGCGTAAGAAATTGAATTTTGCGACTCGTGCAACAGTTGCACACTTTCAACAGTTCTCTAAATATAAACAAATTCGATAAAGTCAACATTAATTTTAAAACGCGATACCCCCCCTGAAGATAAATCTCGAAGTTTCCTTCATCGATATAAATTTGCTCCATGACGCAAACGTCAAATCTTCGTTGAACATTCGAAGAAAGAAGAAAGAAAGTTCTGGAGAGAGTAGTCTCTGTCAGTTAGAGAGACATTACTGTATAATGTTCGTTTGGTAGACGTGTCACTTGCGTGACTTATTCTCATGTGAACAGTGATCGAGGCTCGAGCCATCGACGCGATCGTGACCGTCGTCGAAGACGACGACGACGACGACACGACGACTCGGAAGAGTGGCATACCGAAACATAATGGAGATAAATTGGGACAACGAGGACACACACTCGGGGCGCTTGGAATTTCGGAGGGAACGAGAACGATTGAAGACCGTGGACACGGATCGACGGGATCGCGACGCGTTCTTCTCGTGGCCGCGTCGCCGACGGATTCGTGCGACGGAGCGAGCTCTCGTCGGACGCTTCCGCGATTGCAAGAGAATGAACGGTGCTCTGGAAACTCGTTTATCGTGGCCAAAGTGATTAATAATACATTTATCGTAAATTTTTTCAATCAAAGAACTGCGTTTGATTAGATTCTGTAATCTGAAAGACATTAATTGATAAACGATAATGATTTATACGAAATAAAAATGATCCAAGACGCGATTGTGAGAAACAGAGATGAAATGGAAATAAATGGTTTCTTTCGATCGCTTTGATAAATAGTTGAAAGTTACGCAAGTTATACAGTTACGCGAATTCTAAAGTTATGCTAATTTTAAGCGTCTAAAAACGTCTAAAAAATTTAACTCTTTTCAAAGAGTTGAGACTGAAGTTGTTGCGATCTTTTTGATATCAAAAATATATATTTAATATATTATTATTAGATATTTAATATATTATTATAATATATCATTATTATCAAATATTTAATATATATTTCGACTTCTAAATATTCTAGCAGCGTCGTACTACGATCTCAAAATATTCTGATAACGCTAAAATAATTTTGGCCACGATAAACGAATCTCCGGGACCATTGTTTAACGGCAAGTATCGTCACCGCAACCCCCGTTTGCAAAAGCGACTCTCCGACGAGGAGGAACTAGAAGAGGCGTGTGAACGATTCTACGGAAGCCTGCCGATCTAATGGTATCGATTAGGCACACACAACACTTCAAAACGTTAGTGGATGTTACGATCTCACCTGACGGCGTTGCTCGATCATCGAAATCATGTCGAAAATATCTATCGGCGATCTATCTGGTAGGCAGATTCGAATCAGTCGATTTAATCGTGTACATACAACTATGTAATTAATTTAATTACATACAACATTGACGATGTTAACTACAATTCTGAGCTTTATCCAGCAATTTTTCAAAGCCTATATATTTCAATTTATTTCGATTTATTTCGATTTTCTTTCTGTTTTTTTTTTACTCGTACGATGGTTATATAAAATATGTCTTTCTTTTCCTTACTTTTTCTATAACAAAGGGATTTTTACATGAATAAATAAATTATTATTGTTGTTATTATTATTATAGTTGAGAAAATCAGACGTCCAAGGGGACAAACCTGCACTACGAAAAGGATTGCGAAGCTCGTAAATAAAGAGTGACAATAACACGAGTCACGCTGGTTGGAGTATGGCAAGGGATTAAATTGACATTGCTTCTCAAATTGACATTGCTTCTCAAATTGACATTGCTCTTAAATCGACAACGTTCTCAAATTGATACTGTTCTTAAATCGACAACGTTCTCAAATGGACGTCAATCTCAAATTGATACTGCTCTTAAATCGACATCATCCTCAAATCGCCGCCCTTCTAAAATCGCCATTGTTCTCGAATCGAGGTCGTCCTCGAATCGACACCGCGGCCGACGGAACAAACATCATCCGTTTCGCGAGAAAACGCGATTTCGACTGACACATCCGACGCGATCGTGACACCGCGGACACCCTGTAGACCGTGCCGAAAGGTCGGCCGAGCAGGTCGGATGCCGAGGTAGGAAGCTGAAGCGTGTGCCCGATTGCGTGATAGAAAAGGAACAGCAGAAAACTAAAACGCCTTGGGAGAAATCGTTGGAAAAATTCGGCGGGCACGGGGTACAAGGGGAGAGAGAGAGAGGGCGGGAGAGGGATACGGGGAAGAGGAGGGTTCCGGGCGGTGTTTCCCGAGGGATGGGGTCACGGGCAAAGGTGTAGTTGGACTGGGTCCAGCATCGGCATGCCAACTCTCCACCTACCGTGCGCCTCGATGAACATCGCCCAGCAACCCCAGAAACCCTGCGAGCTGCCGGGCCGATGTTCTGCGGGCCCGTTCGCGGCGTTCGCGGCTCGGCCGCGCCAGTTCTCATCGCGTTCGCTGCTCCACCAACCGAATCCGTGCGAATATCCGTCGCTCTGACCTTTGAACTTGGACAGCGATTCCTCGTAGCCGCGCTGCGAGCCTTGCTCCCGGTGCAGCTCCGCGACCGCGTCCACCGGGTCGAAGCCGAGCCTGTCCTTGTAATAGGCCTGCGTCGACATCGCTGACAATACCCTCCGCCGCTCTATAGATTCTTCTTCTTCTTCTTCTTCTTCTAGGGATGTACACCCTCCGACGACTTCTTCTCTCTGCTCAAGCCAGCTTCCAGAGCAGATACTCCCGGCTCATCGGGCCCCCTTTTTATCAGATTTCGGCGTTATTCGAAACACGGTCGAATTCGTTCGACGGCTTTGAATCGATTCTTTGAATTATGTTCGATTTATTTCGGGATGCTCGATGGGGATTTTATTGGAGGAATGTTGCGAAAGTGATTCTTCGAATGGGAGACGATTTGT